ACACACACACACACACACACACACACACACACACACACACACACACACACACACACACACACACACACACACACACCACACACACACACACACACACACACACCACACACACACACACACACACACACACACACACACACACACACACACACACACACACACACACACACAGGGGGAGGGACGGACGTGATGAAGATGTGTTACTGATGCACCAAAAAAACGGAAGAAGTTTCTATGACGCACATGCTAATAATGCTTTATAGTCTGTTAATAATTATAGTTATAAACACTTTAAATATTCATATAATAGCTAATTATAAGTTACATTTCCATAAAACGTCATATTAGTTGTTTATTAACTGACATGTTTTGCAAGCCTTTGACTATAATGCATTATGACGGCCTTGTAATGCATTATCATCTCCTTATTGCACTTAATGTATATAGTTATAAGCACTCGTTAATATTCATAATGCTTAATAAGGATACACAGTATAAGGTCAAGTGTCACAATATCTCATTTATAGTGATTTCTTTGCAACACATCAACCATGCATTATAATAAAGTACTTATTCATAATAAATATGATTATGCACTTCTATAAGTAACACATATACATTATATAACTCACACAGCTTCATTTTAAAGTATATGACTTCCTATCTGCTGCTCACTTACTGACATGTTGAGCAAGCACATGTTTACAATGCATTATTAACACACTTGTGATGCGTTCAAATAATATGTTATGACCGATATGGGAATTATAACGCATGAGAAAACCAACTAAATATCATTGACCAGCAATTATGAAGAATTCCCTTTATGATACTTAATAATGCTGTGAATGGGGATGATTCAGTTTGATCATTATATCATATATTAAGATATCGTGGCGCACAATTCAGTGTTCAATTTGATTTATTGATCATAAAAAGCACATATTGAGTCAAATTGATCTGAAATCTGAAATATTTTCACTTTCTTTTTTACATTTTGGACTAAATGTTGATTAAAAAAGTACTTATGAAGTATTTAATTAATTGAACACCCCAAAAACATGTTATATCATGACATATATCATGTATCATATACAATATTTTGACATATTGTCCAGCCCTTAGCGTTATAAAACATTATGAACATTGATGAGTGCTTATAATTATTACTATTCAGTGTTTTAGACATATTTTTAAAGTATATATGAACTTCACAGTAAGGGTTACCCCTCCCAAAGAGATCAAAATGAGTTTTTGTGAGTCAGAAACAAAATGGGGAACATCAATGAGATGTTTTATGTGTGAGTGTTTTATGAGAAATGATTGGCAGTTATGAAGGTTACATTATTGTGGAATCTGCTGTTTATTGACCTTCAGATGTGAGACTGATGTGGGAGAGAGCTGGTGTGAGGGGAAGACAGAACCTTTATGACCACACACACACATACACACCCACACACACACAGGAAAATAAGGAGGGTGAGGGGGCGAGACCGGTTGGCCTTCTGGCGAACATGTTTGGCTCCCTCGTAAACATCTCATTTGATATACGGGATGAAGAGTTAACAGCAAGCATTTCACAGCCTCGCCTTCCAGCTAAAGGATGCACTCATCCACACACACACACACACACCCACACACCACACACACACACACACACACACACACACACACACACACCACACCACACACAACACACACACACACACACACACACACACACACCACACACACACACACACTCACACACACACACACACACACACACACACACACACACACACTAAAGCCACACAAACCACAGCCAGCATGCTACACAGACTCTGAGCTTTAACACTTCCAGGGACCACACACTGACTCAGAAAACACACTGCAGGGACATAAGGAGAGTTCAAAACACACACACATACACGCACACACCCACAAACACACACACATATGCATGTATGTAAAGCAGTGTAGAAGGGTAGACAAAATAATAGATGCAGTCCAGTGCAGTGATGCAACTTTAGGGACGTTTGAAACTGCATTACATCACGAGGTGTTCCTGTTGTACTGTCAGACACTTAGAGCTGCCTAAATAACTGCTCAAACTTTTACACACACACACACACACTGATGCCAAACCCATGCACCACAGCCTCACCAGAGTGGGTAACACAGCCTCAGTGTGCACTTGCTGGAGTTTTCTTTCACACACACACAGTTTTTTTTTTATCCATAATCACACAGAGGCTGGTGGAGATATTACAGAGAGGAGCATCATTAGAGCTTCTCCCACTATCTAATCTACACTTTAATAGCACAGACACACCCTTATTACGTGTGAACATATAGCCGAGTTCACACAGAGAGGCAGGGAGACTGAGGAGACACTGAAATGATTTAAAGTCTCCAAAGAATTTAAATGGTTTGATTTATTTGGAGCTAAAGCAGGATTTAGTTGCTGTTCTGAGTTTGTTTTGTCCTGGTTTATTGGGTTTGTTGTTTTGGATGGAAATGTCGGCTAAATGAAATGTAATGTAAAGTGTTGTATCTACAAGTAGTGTGAATTAACATTAAATTAATGTTTTATCAAAAATCTGAGACACTGTTACACTTTTGTAACTCTAATATTAATCAAATTAAAAATAATAAAAGGAGTAGAAGAAATGAAAAATGTACGACTTGTATAATAAAAACAAAAAGTGAAGCTCAACTAAATTAAAATGGCGGTGGTGGTCTTCGTTATAAGCATGAAATTGCAGACCATAAATAATGTGCTCATCTTTGAGGCACAATAAGAAAAACACGCACATGAAGCTTCTGCATCTCGGCGAAAGCCAGAGAAAATATTAGTTTCCCACAATTTTTTGTATAAAACGCAAACTCTTCACATTAACCCCCCCTTCCCCTTCCCCCTCTTCCTGTCAACTTTTTAGCATGTGAGCAAACTTTGGGTTGACAGGCAGGCCGGAATGAAAGCAGCGGAGTCTCCATCACTGCAGCTGAAACCAATCAGCTTCTCCACGCCAAAAAAAAAGTCCCGGATTTGAGATTTTTTTACGTATTTTATTTAATTTGATTGACGCGATGCGGGAAAAAAAGAGAAAACGGGGCGTCACGGAGCTGCCGTTAATACGGTTTAATTAATTAGCAAGCCTATTTTAATTATATTGTTTGTACATTTAGTAATATGTGTAAAAATATTGCTTTTAATATAAATCTGAATCCAAATCCTCCTTTTACATTTTACGCAGGTGAGAAGTCCGGAGACTGTATACGCGCGTAATTTGGTGAGAAAAACACCTCGTAAACATAAACGCTGTTTGTGTTTCTGGTAGTTTTGGACAAGAAGAGTCACCCTGCTGTGTTTTTTTAAAGGTCAGAGAGGCTGAGAGTAGCTGCTGTCAGTGCGAGGAGGCTCTACTTTTTCAGAATAAAGTGGATTCCTCGTTGAAGTGGAAAAACGAGACGAAGCAGCAATGCGCATATTTTCTGTGTTTCTTGTTCGAGAACCCGTCAGATGCTTTTAAAAGTTTACTTTAAAACTCACAATTAATCTAAAATGTATGTTTGTGTATGTTTTTCTTTACGTTATTGTTCCTGACATGACGGTCTGCAGGAGGGCTGTTTCTCATTGTTACGCATTTGGCTTCAGTTTGTGAGGATTACGCAGCAGCAGCCTGGAGGCCTGAACTTCCCCACAGTCCCCAAACACACTCACACACCTGAGATCTGTCATATTTACATTTCTGACTCCTTTTCACCCACTCTCGGGGTGTGTGTGTGTGTGTGTGTGTGTGTGTGTGTGTGTGTGTGTGTGTGTGTGTGTGTGTGTGTGTGTGTGTGTGTGTGTGTGTGTGTGTGTGTGTGTGTGTGTGTGTGTGTGTGTGTGTGTGTGTGTGTGTGTTTTTTCTCCGAGGCTCTGTGTTCTGTCCCCTGAGCTGCAGAGGTTAAAGGCCCGTGTTGGACACCTCTCCGTCCCCTCGCTATGTTTTATTCAACAGCCCCGTCCCGTGTTACCGGTGCACGTTCAGTTAGTAGATTATATGTAAACCCTGCACGTGTTAAACAGTAACACCAGTGACAGTAATGGCTCATTAATTATTTTTTCTAAAGAGTTAAAAAGTCACAAAGTGTTATTTATGACGCATTTAAGCATACGTTTTCAAAAAAGAGGATTTATTTTCACCCAATTAGATTTTAATGTGCACACACACACACACACGTATTTAAATACATTGCAAATATAAATTATTCTGACCGTGTGCGATAAATCAAACCACTTATTACCAAGCGTCCATACAGCTCTAAAAAGGCAGCAAAAACCATCCCCTTAAATATTTAACTCACAATATTCATACATGGGTTGAGTCCTTCAATACATTATATATAGGATTTTATTGACGTATCTACGGATGGTGCATATTTAATAGGTTATATTAAATTGAACTAATAATCCGTAAAAGTAATACTAAAGGAAATACATTTGACTGCAGTGCAAAGAAGCTGATATGTATTATGCATGCAGAATTAATAAGTAAAATATGATTTAAGTCTTAAAAACAACTAAATTAATGTTTTAATGGCCAATCAAAAAAACGTGGAGATTCTGATAATTCCATTATTGTATTAACATTATTAAAATAGATTAAATGACGTTACATATTATTATTAGAATAATAAGTGCAATTAAAGTGCTCATTATTATTAATTTGTAGTTAAGGTATAGGTATGGTTAGGCCGAGACAAAGAAAAGGTTTTCTATACGTTATAATGAATACTATTTTTGATTAATTGCCCTATAATTAACATGCAGTTTAAGCGCTTTTAGGTGAGTAGATGAACTTGAAGTCTGCAGACCTGACCAGTGTGTGTGTGTGTGTGTGTGTGTGTGTGTGTGTGTGTGTGTGTGTGTGTGTGTGTGTGTGTGTGTGTGTGTGTGTGTGTGTGTGTGTGTGTGTGTGTGTGTGTGTGTGTGTGTGTGTGTGTGTGTGTGTGTGTGTGTTTGTACTCACTGTTTACGGCGTGTCTGTAGCGCTGCTGGCCGCTGAGGAGGCTCTGTCCATTGAGCAGCAGTATTGGATCCAGGGCTGGGCTGTGCTTCGGCTCCTGACGCACTACTTCTTCGCACACGACCCTCTGCCAAATGCTCTGACTCTGGACTCTTCTGGGACCGAACCGAAGATCCACAAAGAAGAAGGAGGAGGAGGAGAAAAAAGTTGGAGACGGTGTAGTGGAGGTGGAGAGGGAGAGGAAGGGGGAGCGATTGCGCGTAAAACAGCCGAGGGAAGATGCTCTTCTGTCGGGGAAGCAGAGGCAAAGAGACCGTGTGAGCTCTGGAGGTCGAAAAAAACTTGATATTAACGCTTCACTTTTTCCTCTTTAAGTCAAAACGCGTTTTTGTTTTCCTTCCTCTGAACTCATGGCTTCATCCTCGGAGGAAAAAGAGCGCGACGTACCCGGGGAAACAACCCAAAAGCTTTAAGACAAAACACGGAGAAACAAACACCGACGTGAGAGTTTTAGTAAGAGCCGGATTGATCGGTGCTAAAAGGACCGGTTTCTAATCAGAGTCACTTTCAATCTTTCCTGTGCCAACGGGCGCACTGACTGATAGAGGGAGGAGAGAAGGGAGGAGAGACAAAGAGAGAGGGAGGGAGGGAGGGAGAGAGGGAGAGGAGGAGGCGTCAAAAACCTACCCATGAAAGCATGCTGTGGGCCGGATCTCACTTATAAGACGCATAACATGATACACAAGTGACTTTTTTCTCATAAATTAGCTTTTTTAGGCCATTTTGAAGCAGATATGCATTACGCGTGGATTCTTGACTTTAATATCCTTCAGATTTTACTTTATTTGGTGTCTCCATTTTACCATAAACAGTTGGGCAATTATTCATTAATCATATCTGCTGAAATCTTCTTCACAGGCCATCCTTTGTGTACAAGTGTCTTTTGCACTTTTTTCCTAAGAACTCCGCATTTTTAGGCCATTTTGAACCAGATGTCAAAGGGCATTACGCATGGATTCTTGACTATAATATCCTCAGGTTTTACTTGATTCGGTGTCTCCATTTAACATAAACAGTTGTGCAATTATTCCTTAATCATATCGGCTGAAATCTTCTTCACAGGCCATAATTTGCAGCTGGCTATCAGAGAGACCTTGACATTAGCCAGAGGAGAGATAGAGCTCTGTGTTTCCCACTAATACTTTCTGCTTCCCGCAGCACTAACTTATCAGCTCCCGCCTAATACTTTCACACATGTCAGTATCATCCCGCAGATAATCCCCCAGGTGAAGTCCATACATGTTAATAAGTAGCCTATAATAAGTGCCTTCTGCTTATTAGATGCCCTCAATACAACAGGAGTGTCTCTGTTAATGATAAACCTGCGCGCAGTGCGTAAACGTCACATCCCTCCAAATATGTGCCATCAAATGCGTGCAAAGGCTAAACAAAAAAACACAGTTTAAAGCAAGGTACAGATTGTGGGGTTTACTGAACATGCAAATTAAAGATTTAATACTGAAACACTGCAGAGACAATGCTCATGTGTCAGGTGTGCATATTTGGATAATCTAACACAATTGGAGCGACACAAAGAGAGCTCATTCTTCAGATTAGCAGAATCAAAAATGAGAAATTAGTGCTTTTAGGAATATTTTATAACGCACACTGGACGGTCATTATACACTCCTTGTGCTTTATGTCAAAGGCCAAATGCAAAGATATGCTCGCTGCGCACATTTGGAAACAACCAGGAGCTCCATAGAGACACAGCAGCATTAAAGATGATCCATTAGTGCTTTTATGGATACTTTTTTGACAGGTTTAACTTCCATGTGTGACTGAACAGTTAACCCTTTGACCTGATGTCAGAGTGTCTGATAAACAAGGAAGCCGTTGAGAGTCAGGTGACACTAAAAACTTATATTTAGGATGTTTTCTGAATGCACGTTAATACTTTAAAAAAATGGATATGTTTTATAATGAAACTCTGGAAAAGTAGATAGTTCTTTTTTTCCTCAAAATTCGTGATTTGCTTAACTTTTTACGTGATTATAAAACCCTGAAGCAATGCCAGTGGTTAGAACTGTAAACTATTTCGAGCAGAAATAAGACCATACATTATTAACGTTAACACACATTTTGTTTTTTACTTTTCTGCAGCTCCACTCCTGTTTGTGATTCTCCCAGCCTGACTCATCCCACACTGTGTCTATAATCCTAGGGTAAACTGCAACAGGGGGAGGCTTTCATGCACATTTTAACGAGAGCATGCGTAACCGAGTTGAGCAACCGAAACGGAGCCACAGGTTTGAAACATCTGCAGCAGCGAGACTGTGCCTGTGCGTAAAATGTGTCCGAGCCTCACTCTGCTGCAGGGGGTCAGGCTGCGACAGTGGAGGGGCACCAGCGAGAAGAAGAGGAAGAAGAGGAGGAAGAGGAAGGGGGTGTTACTGGATTCGTGCTCACGGGCCTTGGGTGATCAAAACGTGAAGGGGAAGGTAAAATGTCCGAGAGCAGATCCGCGTGTGTGCGTCGTCATTTGTGTTCATTGCTTTCCAGGAAAAAGACCCGAGCTGAGACTCTAAGCTGCACGGGCCTGATTCAATAGAAGATTTTGGAAGATGTGTCCACTTGATCAATAGCAGGTAGCTATTGATCAAAGCTCTATAAAGGGCAATTGAGTAAATTCACCGAGACAAAAACCTGTGTATTCTTAATTAAAACCATATTTAGATAGAGACTGACTCTGCATCACATTCCCATTTAGAGGGGAGTTTTCACTCTATTAGAATACAAACATGCTCCTATTAAAATATGGGCCGGAAATGCACAAAAACATGCATTTTTATGGAGAAGAAGGGTGCCATGATTCGGTGATTATTTATATTTAGTTGGTGGTCCAGTGCCTTGCAGAAAGTGAACTCGCACTAGCACTAAAGCTACCAGTTTACGTGATTTTGTTTGTTGGTTTGCAACATTTCCAGCACTTGGACTTGCACTTGGACTGTGCGTTAAATGCGTCCAAGTGTGCTGGAGAGGGCACCAGCGAGAAGGACTCGAACCAGTGACCAATCCTGTTACCAAGCCAAGTTATACGGTCTGAGCTACTGCCACAACATTTAAAGCATCACATCTCATGCACTACATCATCCAGAGTGTACCAAATCTGTAAAATATGCCACTATCAGGGTTGGCTTCATGGGGGGTCATTCGCGGGCCATGCCCCCCCCCCCCCAAACGAGTCACCGTGCCCCCACAACGCAGGGCGGGCAAGCCCTGCCACTTTGCCGTTTTTTTGTTTTGCTAGTGATTTGTCAACGGGGGGAGCCTCGCTGCGGGGAAACGGTGTAGCTTTGTCGCCTGTCAGCGCAACTTCAGTGATGCCGTTTAAAAACGGTGCCGGCCGTCAGCGAACCGAGCCGGCCGTCAGCGAACCGAGCCGGCCGTTCTGTGATTCTCCTGATTCTACAGATGGCCAGTCTGCCCCTGGTTTAGATAGTTAACTTAAGTTATCTCAGTGGGTCTCAAACGGTTTGGTCACCATTTATGTAAACAATTATTTCCGAGGAACACCTTTATATGATCATTGTAGTTATTAAAAAATAAGAGAATAAATGAAAAACAGGTATGAAATATAGGACAGTAAAACAAGAATACAGTTTAAAAGAGGAGTGATTAGTAAAATAAAGAAAAAGTCAATCTGTTTACAGTTCTGTTTCATATGAGTGTTGAGAGATGTATCCATAGATCTCTTAATTTTGCACCAGATTGATGCATTTAACTTCAATATTTTAAAAAAAAATCTTCCCGGCAGCATGCCCCCGGACCCCCCTCGGATGTTAGGTCCATCACTTAAATCATGTTCACATGATAGGATACTAAATACATTTGCACACTTTTTATATGGTGGCCTATGTCCATATGTTTCTGATTTGGTGGTCGTGCCACAACCGTGCATGTATGCACAAGTCATGGTGCGCTAGAAAATAGCACTACACCCTGACCCCTGCAATGTGTGTGAAAACAAGAGACTTTACAGCATGTTTTGAAATTGAAGTTGCGTTGGTGTTTGTGTGTTGGTTGTTGACGGCAGTGTGTGCCCCCCCCCCCCCCCTTCGATTTGTTCTAAAGTCGACCCTGACTATACAACATGTTGAACTCACCTTTTTAACGCAGCCTGCTATCAGACACCTGGCAGCTGCAGAGAAGAAGAGGAATTAAATGAGAGCTGCTCTTTCGCCAATGTTAATAAATATGATAATGATTACTAGTTGATTTATATTGTGTATTAGCTCATCTGAATATGTTAAGTAACTACTGTTCGATAAATGAAATAGAGTCCGAACATACCAACAGTGGTGAGGGATAAATAAAGAAACAGATCTAAAAAGCTGCAAATAAAACGCTCATGTTCTCTCGCAGATTGTCGCGATGCTTCTTCTTCGTGACATTTACGAGATAATTCCTGCAGCTATTTTTATTTCATCGTAAAGGGCTCGTTAGGGGGTGAAAATAAGAGCGTTTAAATCCATTTAAAGCTTTATTTCTCACCATGCAGGCCGTTAAACCCGGAGTGGCTGCGGTTTTTGGATAGGGCGATATTAAGCTGCACCCACATCACGTGACCTGTGGCATGTGCAGTTTATTTAGGCGAGTGTGTTTAAATGAAATGGACTGTTTAAAACTTGGAGGTGGATTTGCATTAATATTTCGTTTGGTTGTTGATATAAATGTACAGTATCATGCATGTGGTTAATTTTTCATCATTTCTATGTATTGAAGAAACATGTATTTCGGCTTTAATATTTAATCACTGCAGTTAACGTGCATTATAACCAGAAATCAGACACTCAACATCGTCCTTTTTTTCTGTGTTTTTTCAATATTTAAAACATTTTTCTAATTTCAGGAGGAGAGATCAAATGGAGCCTCATTTTGTCATTTTAACTTTGTTTTTTTCCTGCACAGAAAGTGTGTGTGAACATCCTCTCGGAGTATTTATTCAAAGAAATGTTAACTAACTGCATGTCGTCTCATCGCGATGGGGCTGCAGAGCTTAATTATTGAAGCCCGGCGGACACACACACACACACACACACACAGACACACACACACACACACGCACACACACCACACACACACACACACACACCACACACACACACACACACACACACACACACACACACACACACACACACACACACACACACACACACACACACACACACACACACACACACACACACACACACACACACACACACTCGCACACACACTCTTGCCCTTTATATATCCTCCATTTCCTGGGGAAGGGGGATCTAGGAACGAGCCCAAACAGGCGTAACGAGAAGAGGAATGAAATATTGATCCGTGAAAGAACCCGGATGGAAAACAGATCCAGAGTCAGCCGTTAATAATGGACGAGAGTCAGCTAATGTTAAACATACAGGATATAATATGTTTTATTATTATGAATTAGTAAATAAGTCTATATTAGTATTCGGGAATTTGTATATTGTGCATTTCTTTTTTTTACTTTATAAAACGTTCTACTGTTGCTGTTGATAATTAAGCAATTTA